GTAGCCGTAGCAACTGTCACTACTCTTCTCCGCACCGTTCCTGCTGCCGTTCCTGGTGATTCCTGATTCATTCCTATGTATCCATTCACACTGTCACTCTTGCTGGCCTTGCTCCTACATCTGACACGCTCACTCCTCTGGCACGTAAAGGGCAGGGACTGCAGTGGCCGGAGCACTCTGTTGCTAAGGCTTGAAACCTCTTTCTTGCAGGAATCTGCTTCCTGTCTGGAGGTCAGAGTGAAGAGGAGGCTTCTGTCAACCTGAACGCCATGAATCAGTCCCCTCTGCCTAAGCCTTGGAAACTGACCTTTTCATACGGGAGAGCCCTGCAAGCCTCTGCCCTGGCAGCATGGGTGGGCAAAAGTGAGAACAAGAAGGCTGCACAGGAGGCCTTCCGTAAGCGGGCACAGGTACGAGGCTTCCCCCCATAGCAGAGAGGAGCTGCTCAACGTGAAGGGAGGTGTGTTGTCACCTTCCTCAGGCTCCTCCTGGTGCTTCACGTTCACCAGGGATGTTACTCTATGATTTCCGCCTTGCTTGGTTACTTCTGCTGTCATTCTACATCTGTCTTACTTATTCCAAGCTAACTGCTTTTCCCTTCCTTTCTGTTTCTTTTTCAGATTAACAGTTTGGCTTGCAGAGGACAGTATGTTGTGTCTGGGAAGACTGACACAGCTGCCATGCAGTCACTTTTCACCGCCAGCTATACCTACTGAACATGCAGGAACCTTCCTTTGTCCTGTCCCTCTTCACAAAGTGGAAGACGTTCAGAAATGAAAGAAAAAACAAACAAATCTAATTTCCCTTACCCCAAACAAAACTGGAGATATAATGGATTAGCTTCCTCTCCACCCTTCACTCCCACAATTTACCACAGGAAAATTCTTGTTTCACCTGCTCATTCCAAGGAAGGCTAATTCTTTCCATACAGCAAACAGCTGCCAGTGAATCACAAACCCGCTCTCCCTCTGGTTTAAACTTAGTCCCCAGAACAGTAGGCAGATTAAAGAGTTCCCTAGCAATTCAAATACGTACCCTTGCCCATTAGCACATTTTGCAGCCAAAATCCTGAATTACGAAACCTGACTGTGTCTTCAATCACGGGAATAAAACAGTAATTGAAAACTAATCTCTATCTCACGATTCCTTATTCTGTATAAACTTTACCGTCTCTGTCACACATCCGTGGTTTTCAGTAGCCTATGCAAAGATTAAGTCACAAAGCTTTGCTGCTGGTGAGCTTGGGAAACCCTGGGGAGATCACAGGGAAATAATCCAATAGTGATACAGCTGGGGACATTAATCCTGCTGGCTGAAGTCTGACAGACACTGAGAAAATATGACAGACATATACGGTGAGCAATGCGCTGGGCCCAGGCCAGATAAATAACACCACCATCAGAAGGTTCTCATGCCTCTGGAGAATCGTGCTCGGTGTAAATGAGGCTGCTGTTCACTGAGTTAGGGTTGCACAGGTTGAGTTAGCAAAGATTATTTCCCAAAGCGCTTTTACGGTGGTGTTTTCCACAATAATTAATGTAAAACGTGCAGGGAGGCATCTTGGCCCACGGTTTCACCTTTGGCACGTTGCTATGTACCTGTTGGAGATGTGAGCTTTGTTAGCTAAAGCACAGTTAGACAGTGGTTATGAAAAAAAAAAACCCACAACAAACCAAATAAATGGCAGGAATAGCAGACCTAAGGTTACACAAGAACATTCCCCTGGCAACACGCTACACCAATCAACCAGCAGCACCCTGGAGCCACCTGGCAACCAGCAAAGACAGTGCAACCCAGCAGATCCCCCCTCTGCCTTCAGGGCCACCTGGGACCAAGCCTGCGCAGCTGGAGTCACCCCACTCTGCAGGTTGCTCCTGCCAGAAGGGAAGGGAAAACAGGGAAAATTACTGCCCTGTAACCTCCTCATGTTCTTTGCATTAGTAGCCACTCTTTCATGTAGGCAATAAATAGCCAAACTCCCCCACATGGATACAATCACTGCACAATTCATGCATGCCTTTAGTCCGTCCTGATCTCAACCATGAAGGAAGAGCAAGTGACTTGCCAAAAAAACGCCCCAGAGGCTGATACCGGAGTCAGTAAGACCACCTCTCCTCTGGTTTGGTTGTGGTCCTGTAGGTCTCCGCACACCTGAGTTCAAATAAATCTCTGCTCCTGATGAGGAGCATCCTTCTGATCTACGCAAGATCGCTTCTCTTAACCTGAGAGTGGAAAAAGTGTTCTGCCAAGCTGGCAAAAGAAACCCTCTCACACTTTATAGAACTAAAGCTGTAGCTTTGCTAAATAATTCCTGCTCCTTTGCTGGACATCTGTCACGCACGCTGTGCCTGATGCAGCCGGCGGCTGCGCCCGGGCTCCTTACGCTGCTCTTTGACAGAAGCGTTCGTGACTGGAGCACGGGGACGTCTGCTGAAGGTACCGCCACGAATCGAAGCAAGGCTGCGTACAGACGAAGCGTCATTTCTCACATTTAAAAATGAACGTCCTTTTAAAAAAAAAAACCAGGAAAAGCGGTATTCTCAGCTAATGGCGTGCCCGGATCACAACCGCGGCCTACAGAACAAACTCCCCGCGGAAACGGCCTGGCTGGCAGCACCGGCAACGCCACACCCCGCGGGGGGGATGAGACCCTCCCGAGGCAGCTGCC